TATCATCCAAATCGACATCTTTGAGCATTTTATCGCCATTTATTAACCGACTTATCGTCACAATAATGGTTTGCGTTATACTTTTTGAATACAAACCATCGATGGGTCGGCCGAGAAGTAGTTCCGCTAAAAACACATTTGATATGTTTAATCGGGAATCAAGATATGCCAAAGTATGTGAACCACTATTTCATACCATTATTTATTACTTTTTTGTAGCAAAACGTGTTCACTAATCCATATCCGAAACATTTCTTTTCAAAGGCAGTGAAATCGGAAAAATCGACAAAATCTACGAAATCGTTTCGAAGTCCATATTTGAGGCTCAGAGAAGTACCGGAGCCCGAGATCACAGCCATCGAGACATCGACTCACATCTTACAGTGCGAGGCCGGCGGGTCTCCCACTCCTACCATTCATTGGCTCAAAAATGGCCACAAAATAAGTCAGGTATTGATCAATTATATCACGAGTTATCTGTTATTTGATGTAAAATGAGAATCAATTTGATGTGAATTATGGAAAATAGGGAGAAATGAGTTCATTGAGTGACGACGACATCGCGAAAGGCGAGCTGAGTCTGTCTCTGACCCGATCTCGACTTTTCCTGGACTGCGTTCACCCGAAAGACGCGGCGGTCTATACATGTGTGGCCTCTTCGCCCACCAATCGTGTCAGCGCTGAATCGCACGTCAAAGTGGTTCCCAATTTGAGATCCAGTAATGAATTGTCTAATGAAGCCGACAATACTGTTGCCAAATGTTTGGCAAAGAAATCTTACGGTAAGTTTTCATTCTTTAATTCAATTACATTTTTAAAAATTAATTCTAGTTTAAAAATGCAATACTTTTTTGGGAATTGCCTCAAATCTTATTAACGTTAGGCACTTCCCTCTCAGGTCGAATATATTCCGGGAATATATTTTTAGGAGGAAAGATATTTTGTCTTTCTGAAAACAGGGAAAATTAGATAAAATGTGGTCAATCGATGACCATTTTATGTATATAAATAGTTTTTTTAACTGTATACATGTATCTCAACATGTTTAAGCATACTATATCAAAAGATGTTGTTAAATCCAAGTGATTTAATTTAAATTAATTTGTGAATCATTTTTTAAACAAAACTTAAAAGAGCGCGAAATATTTGGAGTGAATTTTTTTCGGGATACATTAGAAATTTATATTTTCCGGGAAACTCCTATATTTTGGAAGGGAAGATATTGGGAAAATATGAATTTTCCCAAAAGTATATAACATTAAATCTGATATAATATTAATAGAGAGCAATAATTATTTAACAACAATAAAAGTTGTGTTGACTTAAAGGACATAAATAACTGCATTTAATTTATTTATGAATTGTTTTGTTTGTTTGAAACAAACATTTTATGATTGAATGAGATTTTTATTAGTGATTAGAAATGATTACAAATAATTAATTACAAGACTTTCAGCGGAAAAATGAGGCGAAACTTAATTTTTAAACACTTTTTTGGGAAAATGTTTAGGAAATAGTATTTCATCGGAATAAATATTTTATCAATAACTGCTTAATCGAAATTGTGTTTATCTATACTTCAAGTGAATGTTTATAAATATTTGAGAGAAAATCAAGGATAATATTTACAATTTTTGTTAATCTGTTGATTAATATTATATATGAAATAAAAAATGCAACTTTTGATTATAGTTTGAGAGCCGATACCTCTTATAAAATGCGTAATAATTGTTATTTGTTTAATATTTTGTCAAAATATATGGCAATAAATATCAGACAAATATATCATTGCAGTAATTCTCGATGAAAAGTGTTTTTATACTACTCGTAGTCTCTAAATATAGTCTCAAACTTGAAATTCAATGCTTATCTCGAAAGTCAATTAAATGTATTGTAAATAAAATAATGATTAGGAAAAATACAAAAATATTTTTGTTGTAAAAAACAATGTGTTATTTGATTGTGATTTAAAGGTTCTGCCGCTCGGATCCATATGTGGACACATAATATACTGGAAATGATTGGTTCGGACGTTCAATTGCTGTGTCGGGCGAGTGGAGTGCCGGCGCCGGCAATGAGTTGGTTGGGTCCCGAAGACAATACGCTTACGAATAGCGCAAAGTATAAGGTGTTAGAGAACGGAGATCTCATCATAAGGGACCTGACGTGGGATGATATGGGAAACTACATGTGTGTGGCCGA